TGAGATTCCCATTTCTAAGGAGCTGCCAGGCTGTTAGATGCTGCAGGTCCATAGACCTCACATAGAGCAGAAGGATCTAGACCAGGGATTCTAGTCCAGATGAGTTACCCTCAGAGTTCACTGAATCAGTGTTTCCTGGGGTGGTGGTTCCTCAGCTACCTTGTAGTGTAGAGACAGGCTTTCGGTGGTGATTTTCTTTCCTTCTTTTTTCTTTGCCAGAAAAGGTGAGTGCACTTGCTGGAGAGAGACCAAGACAGAGAGAGAGAGACAGACAGTGAAAGTGAAAAAGCACCCCGTATGAGTATGGTTGCTGTGATCACTTCTCCATCTTTCCCTCCTATTGGGATTCTGGGCATGTACACACAGGTGCCGGGAGTGTTTCTCAAGCCACCTGGTCCAAAACTCAAACTGTGAGGGTGGCCATGTGGGATCCAGCTGTCTTAACCACCAGGCCATGGGCTGGCTAGTGGTAGTTTTCTTTCTAAATGAGTGGCCTCTACTATGCTACGAAGGAGCTGCTTTCTCGATTTTAGGAAGCAAAATGTCAAACTCCAGTTAGGTATAGGAACAGGTCCAACATTTCCATAACTCTAGACACCTGTCTTCCCTGTTGTGGTATAACAAAATGACTCCAAAGGCAGAGACTTCAAAGAGCCTCCCACTTTATTTTGCTTGTGATTTTGTGGGGCAGGAGGTTAGCAGCGGCTTAGCTGGTGGTTCTTGCTTGGGCCTCCCAAATACTTATAGTCAGATGTTGGTGGGATTGTAGTCATCTGAAGGCTCGGCTGGCTCCGGGCTCCCAGATGGTGCACTTACGTGGGCTAGCCTTGGATACTAGCTGTCAGCAGGCAGCTCTGCTGATGGCGCACCTACACGTGGGCGCACCTACACGTGGTCTGTCTTTCTTTCTTTCTTTCTTTCTTTCTTTCTTTCTTTCTTTCTTTCTTTCTCTCTTTCTTTCTTTTTTTTTGGAGAAGTTTTTGCTATAGGACGTGTGTGCTCTCCAGACAGACAGAGAGAGAAACAGAGAGACAGAAAGCGGGAAATCCCCCCTAGGGGGGATGGTCACTCCTCAATCCCTTCTCCATTCTCCTCTTGGGATCTTGGGCACGCATGCACACGTGCCCGGCGTGAGTATTAAGCCACCGGGTCCGGGACGCGAACTGCGGTCGACTACATGGGAGTCCAGCGACATAGCCATTACGCTAACTGCTGGTCCCACTAGTGTGTGTTTCTTGAGTTTCTTACAATATTGCAGCTGAGAGGGAGTATCTTGAGAGCAAGTAACCTTGACAGAAGCCTTGAAAGTCACACAGCATCGCTTACCACACACCGTCTTTGGTACAAGCAAGACACTGAGGCCGACTCAGACTCAAGGGGAAGGGTATTATGGTCATCTTTAATCCTCTACAATTCCCTTTCTAAACTGAATAGACAGGTGCTATTTTCCTTGCCCTGAGAGCATAGGCACAGGACAATGCGTGACCTTTCATATGCACAAAGACTCTTCCTTGGGCTCCATTAATCTGCCGTGCTGATTCCTCACCAGCAGGGAGAGCCATGTGAAGAGTCTGTCTGGAGCCCAGGTAGGAAAGGCCAGAGTGCATTGTGGGAGAAAGATGCCTCCAAAATGGCCTGAGGATCTACATTTGGCTTTTGTACTCTAATTGTGGTTTATTTTGAAAGTCAAAAATCACTTTAAATGAAGCCAGAGATACACCAAGGGTGTGAATTAGGCCTTACGAAGCTCTTCTCTCCTTGTCAGAACTACATGTCAAAATCCTCTAGCAAAGCTAGATGAAAAGACGGGCCTTAAATTAAACAGACTGTAAGGTCCACATTACTCATCATCATTCTAATATTGCCTACTACTGTTGAAAGTTTCCTTCATTAACATGTGCTTCGCTGCTTCTTAAAATAGCTCTATAACCAAACGCCGCAATTCTGAAAAGCATGATAAAAAAGGTTCTCTGATCATGCTCATTACTGAATATTTTTAGCAGAGCAATAATTAGGATTTGGAGGAAGCCGGGTGTCTCATTATGTCAGCAGAGGGCTTGGCTTCTTTCGGAGACCTACCTCCCAACCAGCCAAAGCAAATCTCTCCCTAAACCTGAAGCTACATTCAGTTTCTCAAACACAGAGACCTCACCCTCTGGCTTCAAAGAAAGGGTGCACTCATACGTCACCAGTGTTTAAATGACTTGCTAAAATCCATTAGGACTTAGAGAATCTTCTTAACATTTCAGCAGGCAGGAGCGTGGGTGAAAGACAGGACAGATTTCTTACCGGAAAGCTCCCTGCTGCTCCCCCCTGAGGTGGGGATGTCGTTCCAGGCCCCCAGGCTCAGGACCATGCAGAGTTGCCCCGCCCACCAGAGTCCCCTGCACAGCGAGGTTGGTTTGGGAGATATTTTTCTTCATGCATTCGGATGTTTGCACCCTCTGCTTTCCATTTGGTTTTCTGTGTTTGCTTCTGCCCTCCCAGAAGGTGATAAGTTTGTGGCTTTCTCTTAATGGTAAAACCCAGCTCTGTCCTCTGGGCCATGGAACATTGGAAACCGGTTGCTTTGTCGCTAACATCAGCAGTGCTTCCCTGCTGCTGATACTGCAAGTGTGCCAACACTATCAAAAGAAAGCTCCAAAGGGACAACCTAGTTGGGGCTGCAAGAGTGAAAAATGCAGAGAGAACTGGACTTGGAAGGGCACTTAGAGATCTATATCATCTAGTCATCATTCATTTAGCAACTATTCCTGCAGTGCCTGCTTGTCGCCAGGTGCCGGAAATGTCGAAGAGAATAAGGAAGGTGCAGTCCCTTCCCTAATGCAGCATATAATCGGATGGACAAGGCAGTTATTGAACAACTTGTTTAATAAAGGTCTTGCAGTATTTAAAGGGCAAGGGTAGTGGCCTACAGGAAGGAGTAACAAATAGCAAGACTTGAGTCTAGGGGTTGAGAGATTGATTTCCTTGAGGAAGTGACACTAAAGCTGAAACCCAATGGATGACCAAGAGTTAACTGGGTAGAGAGTGTGGCAGCGTGAGGGGAGGGAGCCAGCACTGTCAGGAGACCAAAGAAGTCCAGTGTGGCTGGGCTGAGACAGTCAGCCTGTCACCCTGCCCCATAGACTATGCCAAGAGTGATTGCCCTGCAGATGTGCAGCACAGGGGTCTTAGTTTAGGGAATAAAGGGGAGGGTCTGAGGTGAGAATAGAGAGAAGCACCAGGAAGAGATGGTGCAAGCTACTGTGGAGCCAAGTTAAGCCTTTAACTCTAAATCCTGAGGCCAGTAGAAAGCCAGTGAAGGGTATTGAGCAGGCTTCTGACTTGCATTTAGAAAGATTGTTCTGTGGATCTTGTTGCGTGGGTTGAGGCAGACAAAAATGACAGTTCTGGAGACTGGTTTTGACATTCTTGGTGCAAGCTTTGAACAAGATGGTGTTGGATGGATTTAGGATGGAGGGTAGAGAAAAGTGGGTGAGTTAGGGAAACATTTCAACAGTAGACTGGAAAACCGTTTGGCTGTGGGGAGTGAGGGAGAGGGATATGGCATAGATGAGTCCCAGGTTACTTTCTCCAGTCACCTTTCTCAGGTGAAGAGAGGTTTAAGTAACTGGCTTTCAGAGGAGTTGAGTGACTTGCCCAAGTCTGCAAACCAAGAACACAGTGCTCTTGTCCCTAGGCTGTGTCTATATGCCGTCCCATGCCTGATGTCTCTGAGTGGCCATAATGATGTTGGATAGAAAGATCTCAGTTGCTGACATCATTTCAGTTGACAACAGAACTGTGAACATAAACCTGATTCTTGTCTTTATTAATATTTATAACCTCTTGAGAGCCCTGTATTGGTTGGCACACCCAAATATATTTTTGAAGACTTTAAGAAAGTTCTATTAGAACTGGCATCCTCTGTACTTGTTTATTTTTACTCTGTTCCACATATTCTAGATAAAAGAACCTTCGTGTCGTAAAGCCACCATACAGAGTAGACTGTTTATAGGAAGATAAAATCATCATCCACAGGCATGTCTTTAGATCAGAGACAACAAAAATAGTATACTTTTCTTCTTTTCCTTCACTGTTAACATGATGCAGACTTCCTTGGGGAAGAAAGGGAGTGGCTGTGACCTGACTCATTCATTGACTCAGCTGTGATCCTCCATTCACTGACTCATTCAATCACATTTATTGAGCACCTCCTATGAGCTAGACACAGGGGCACTGAACGGGCTGCCAGAGATGCAAAGACAGTTAAGGCAAAAGCTGTGTCTTAACATTTCGCAATGTTCACTATCTACCTGGAGACAGATATTAAAAATCTTTTTGTTAGTGGAGGATGAGTTTATGTCTGAAATGTTGTGAATTCTGCCTGCTGATGTCAAAAAAGTGTTCCCAGGAGTGTAATCTGGAAGCCGAACCTTGCAGGAATAGGAGGAACTCCATGGTTGTTGTGGGCAGGGAGGGTGTATCAGGCTGAAAAGAAGGGATCAGCATGAGCAAATGCCAGGAGCAAGGCGAGAGCTTGGTGTATCCTGGGAACAGGTCTGGGCAGATGAATTTGCAGCGTGTATGGCAGGATGGAAAGTGTACAGAATGGAGGCCGGAAGAGTTAGCTGGGGCCGGAAGTGAAGGCCTCACTGACACCAAGCAGGGTCCACTTTGTCCCAGAAAGAAGGGCCATTAAAAGAAATAGGTCAACTGAGGTGATCTTAATTTTTCTTCTTTATCTTTTCATTCCTACTTGAGCAGGGATGTTTGTTCCAACGCAGAGAACAGAAGGCATCTCAACATCAGACATCATCACCAGAATTGTCCGTGACTATGATGTTTATGCCCGGCGCAACCTCCAAAGAGGGTACACAGCCAAGGAACTGAATGTCAGCTTTATAAATGTAAGCATGTCACCCCATACCTTCTGAGGGCCACCATATCACCCCACCACTACCACCATTCCTGTCATTTGATTTATTTAGTTTTGGAGAGGTTTTTGCTATAGGGTGTATGTGCTCGCCAGAAAGACAGAGAGACAGAAAGCGAGAAATCATCGCCCGGGGGGTAGGGGAGATGGCCATGCTGCATTCCCTTTTCCTCCATTCTCTTCTCGGGATCTTGGGCATGCATGTACATGCACCCGGTGTGAATTTAAGCCACTGAGTCCAGGACTCGAACCATGGTCAACTACATGGGAGTCGAACGACATAGCCATTATGCCAACTGCTGGGCCCTACCATTGCTGTTATTTATTCAGCACTTACTATGTGCTGTGCAGTGTTCTTAATGCTTTGCATTAATGGCCTCATTTAATTTACATAATGACTCAACAATGTGTTATCCCCTTTTTATAGATGAGAAAAGCAATGTCCAAAGGGGTACCATAAGTGAACCAAGGAACAGCGGGGGTGTGCAGCTTCACATCTTATAAAGGAGCTTCCTCATGGCCCTCCCCTTGCGTCAAACCTCTGTCCATCAGAAATTTCAGACTTGGGTGAAGGGTTTTTGGGAGACATGTCCTTTGTGAAAAGCAAGGGTCGTTCTGCTCAAAAGGGAAGGAAGGAAAGCTGAGGCAATGAAAAGCCAAACGTGGAGGAAAAAAGCTTTCTTGTTTCAACGTTTTTAAATTGTCATTGTATTAAGGCCTTACAGATGCTCATTAGAAACCTTAACAGCCGTTTTTTATTGTCCAGAGAAATTACAGCTGCTTAAATAAAGCCTAAAGACTTTGGCTTCCTTTTGTACTTCTACTGTATTGTTCCCACAGAACTGCTGTTAGTTTAATAATAGAGAAACTGTTCAAACAATCTTTAAAACAAGCAAAACAAGCTGTTAAAAAGCAAAGAGGGCAGCCCTGTTGCTGGAGGTAATGCCGATGAGTCTGGACAACTGTATTTGCCTGGCCTCCGGGAGCTGGTATCTTTAATTAAAACAAGAACTCACCATACAGACAGAATTCCAACCTCCAAAATAGAGACTGTATTTTCAAAGGGAAAATACAGTCTGCAAAACTAGATGTTTATAATTATGGGCAGCCGAAATTATCTTGCAGCTTATATAATTGATCATTAGTACCTCCCAAGTAGGAGGAGTTCATTAATTGTAAATCACTGATTATTAATAGTCCTCGCGAGGCAGGGAGTGTAGGGAGTCTGGGCTCTGTGGTTTCGTACAAGCCGGGCAACGAAATGGAAAATGTCAGATTCCAGTAGTACCAGAACAAGTGGCTGAAAAGAATTTAGTCCAAGTGATTATCTGGTATCGTATAAAGAATAAAGCCCTGGTTATTTCAATAAATTAAACTGTCTGTTCTTTTAAATTGAATTCAGTCAACCATCCAAGCATGTCAAGCCATTTCCAAAAGTGATTGCTCACTCTTCTTTAACGGCCTTTAGATAAGCCACTTAGTTCAAAGAACCGTGCAGTCAGTGTGGATGCGCCCGCTGCCTTCCGGTGACAACAGACCTAGCTGCAGCTCAGAGAGGAACTTGAATGTGTTGTGTTGGATGGGCGTGTAGATGAATCATGGAACCTCGGAGGTGGCAGGGACCCGAAGGGGAGCAGTCACCTGGGCCAAGTCTCTTTGATTTAGAGATGAGGAAAGCTGAGCCTAGAGGAGGCACCTAGCCAAGGTCCCTCAGCTTCTGTCTCCTGCTCCCAGCTCAGTGCTCATTGCACTATTCTGTGCTGCCCCAAGAGCTGCACGTAACTGTTCCCAGCACAGAATGAACTATGGAGGCGCATGATCGGCGACAGCTGACACGGAGAGTTTATCATGTGGCCCTCTGAGTGTTTCACCTGGATTATCTCATTTCATACTCATGACGAGCCTATAAGTGTGGGTATAAAGACTATATCTAACAAGGAGATGAGGAAATAGAGGCCCAGAAAGGTTGAACAACTCACTTAAGGCCACATAGTAAATTGTGGAAGACACAGTGATTACGCATACACATTCACGTGTACATATGGCTGAGGGCAACTCGTGTAATTCATACCTTGCCCTGGGGCTGCAGTTGAAGTTGGAAGGTCTGAATCAGCAAATCCTTTCTTTAAAGCTTATTTATTTTAGGGACCAGCAGATGGCGTAATGGTTATGGAGCTGGACTCCTACTTAGTTAACCGTGATTTGAGTTCCAGACCTGGTGGCTCAAAACTCACACCGGGCACGTGTGTGTGTGTGCCCAAGATCCAGAGAGGAGAATGGAGGAGAAGGGAGTGAGGCATGGCCATCCCCCCTGCAGGGTGATTTCTCAATTTCTGTCTCTCTGGAGAGCACACATGCCCTACAGCAAAAATCTCTCTTTAAAAAAAAGTTAATTTTATTTCCTTTATGAGAGAGAACATGAGCATGAGAGAGAAAGTCCACGTGTGTTTATGTGTGGAATGGGGGGTGCCCTCGACAGGGTCTCATGCTGCCATCTCCTCTCCCCTAGCCTTCCAGTTTGTCAGGATGTTGAGTGCACATGCCCAGTATGTTTCAGGTGAGCTTGGGATCTGAGCCTGTGGTGGCCATATGGCTTCCAGCACCGTAGTTCAGTGCATCAGTGCATGTGCTACTGAGGCTGGGCCTGATTTGGAGAATTTTGACTCTGTTTTGCAATATTCCAGGGGCCTCAAAAATTTTGGAAATATAAAATGAACTTTAGTTCCACATGGTAAAAAAAATGATAAGCCTTATTACCCCCTTTAGGGGAAAAAACTTATGATTTCATGGGGGAAGTCTCTTTGTCTTGTGTTATTTTCAGACCAGTCTCCTCAGGTAATACAGATAAATGTCCATGCCAATTGATACTAACAAAACAGCCACCATCATTGTGTGTATATGAAATGTCAGACTTGTGCTAAGCACTTTGCATGCATTATCTTATCTAGTTATCACAGCAACCCTTCATGGCAGGGGGGATTATTACCCTCATTTTACAGGTGAGGAAACTGAAGTTTAGTGGTGGCATACGACATGTCCATATGTGATGGCTTCCAGGGACGTAGATAGCAACAGGAAGGCTAAAAAAAAAAAAAAAAAAAAAAAATCCAAGTCCAAAGAAGCTCTCAGAAGGGCTTTCTTCCTCACCAAGATAATCAGTGCTGTTCAAGTAGCTTAGTGGAAAATATCATTAAAATAAAAATTTTAATGTAGCATGGGTTCTGACGCCTAGTCAATGGCACATTTATTTCAAGCAATATTGGTTTTAACAATGTCCCCTTAATCAGAAAATTGAGGCAGCTTCTGAGTGGCTATTCTGTGCGTACTTTATACTTTTGTCTAAGTCCTAGCAGAATTGAGTGGAGATATTTGCCCCACATATATCCATGAAGAGCAGCTGTGTGTTCTTGGGTCTTCTTTTATACAAGTGATTTTAATTCACAGAGATTTCAAAGAGAGAAAACATGAAAGCTCCTTTACATATACAAATAGATTTAATGACAAATGACTTTTACAAGAGATGTGCCTTCCCATCCATCTAGCCCCTGGGAAAGGCCAACATTCTGACTCCTCAGGTTAGAAACAAATAGGAGTTGAAATCAAATGTGCTCATTAGTGTGAGCGATTGAACTCTTTCATGCCCTCAGAGATAAATTCAATCTTTTTCTTCTGTAAATTTTGACCAGGAAAAGAAGTACCGTTTCCAGAACCAAGTGGACAGAATGAAGGAAAAGGTCAAGAATGTGGAAGAAAGATCAAAGGAATTTGTTAACAGAGTGGAAGAAAAGAGTCATGATCTCATTCAAAAGTGGGAAGAGAAGTCGCGGGAATTCATTGGCAATTTCCTTGAACTGTTTGGGCCCGATGGAGCATGGGTATGTAATTATGTCACTTGGTCCCACAATGACAGGTGCTTTTGGTTTAGCCTCCTTTTGATGGAGCCACTCAAGGGTGTCTCTTACCTCCATTCACTAAGCAGCCTACATTTTGAGCATCAGTTTGAATGACTGCAAGTTGGTTTCTGCTTTACCCCTCCATATGGCACCCAGTAGTACCCAAAGACAGATCTGGTCTCCACTTCTATTTTTTTGGTCACAGCTTGGCGGCATTTGGTTATTGTTGGATGTCTATTGTTCCTGGGGTTGGTTCTGTAGTTCATCCCCCCAGCTGGAGGTGATGCGATGCTTTAGGGTAAGGGTGAAGTGGATCAGTGGCAAGAGGGAGCTTGTATTGCAAGACAAGAGTCAACCACTGGCATTTATGTTTGGGGGAGGAGAATGCAAAAGAGATACAGCTGCCTTGGTCAGCCTTTGTTGTCAGGAACTCTCTTTTTCACTGGTTAGAAGAGAGAGAGAGAAGAGCTAGAATTTTCCCCTGCATTTATGCCGGCCATGCCCTGTTTTTCTGTGACATGCAAGTGTTGGGGTCAGGCACAAAAGTCTTAGAGGACTGAAGCTATGATTGGAATCCTAAAACTGAGGAGAGAGAGGAAGACCAGCAGAGGGTGTAATAGTTACATTGTTGGACTCCCATGTAGTCAACAGCTGTTCAAGTCCTAGAACTGGCTGCTTAAAACTCCTACTGGGTGTGTGTGTATGAATGCCCAAAATCCCAAGAGGAGATTTGAGGAGAAGGGACTGTGGCATGGCAATTCCCTCTGGGGGAGGGGTGATTTGTCAATTTCTCTCTCTCTCTCTGTCTCTCTCTCTCTCTCTCTTTCTTTCCAGTGAGCATTCATACCCTATACCAAAATCTCTCTTTAAAAAAGAAAAAAACCTGAGAAAATGTAGAGGGTTTCCTTGCCTAAATTCTATAGACAACTCTGAATGATAGCTATAGAAGAGAAAAGAAACTTCTGGAAACCACCTTGTACTCCATTGATATTTCTATTGTATATATCCTTCCTGAGAAAATAACCAGGATTGGTCAGTCGAGTAGATGAGGGTTCTAAGAAACAGATATGAAGGGTCTTCAAACTTCATTGAAATATGTTACGAAAAAAAACTATGCATGGAGTTAAAAAATGTTTGCAACAAAATAAACTTGTACTTTATTTCCATTTTTTCCATAAACTTTTCGAAGCCCCCTCATACATTTACAGCTCACTTTCCTTTTAAAACAAAAAGAGGTTATTGCATTTTACTTCCATTATTTCAAATAACCTAGATTTCTGATTACCATATGAGGTGTCTCTAATAAAACCCATTTTTGAATTAAACTTTTTTTTTTCCCCATAGGGTGCATGAACTCACTAGAGAGACAGTGAGAAACAGAGAGAAAAATTGAGAAAGTGAGAAACTCCCCCCCCACACACACAAAGAGAGATGGCCATGGTGCCATCTCTTCTCCATTCTCCTCCTGGGATTTTGGGCATGCATGCACACATACCCAATGTGATTCTCTGTCTTGCTTTCTTTTCAAAATAATTCTGTTCTTTAACTTTATTTATTTATTTATTTGTTTTGTTTTGTGTGTGTGTGTGTGTGTGTGTGTGTGTGTTTGAAGACTTTTTTGCTATAGGGTGCATGTGCTCGCCAGGAAGACAGAGAGAGACAGAGAGACAGAAAGCGAGAAATCACCCCCCAGGGAGGATAGTCACGCCGCAATCCCTTCTCCTCCGTTCTCCTCTCAGGATCTTGGGCACGCACGCACATGCACCCAGTGTGAGTTTTAACCCACTGGGTCCGGGATGCGAACCATGGTCGACTACATGGGAGTCCAGCGACATAGCCATTATGCTAACTGCTGGTCCCCTATTTGTTTGTTTTAATTTGACCAGAGAAGAACCATGAGAGAGAGAGAGGGAAAGTGAGAAAGCAAGCCGCCAAGTCCGGGATTCGCCCCACCACCCCGACCCCCATGTGATTTTTCCAGCCACCAGCTCTGAGACTCAAACCACAGTCAGCCATGTGGAAGTCCAACACCTTACCCACCACACCACCTGCTAGCCTCTCGATTTAAATATTTTATTGATGGGCTGTCACTGCTGCCTCTGCTCATTAGTTTGCTTGTTCATTGTGAATTTATCTAAATATAAAACACTCGATTCATAATAGGAAAAGAACAACGTTTGTGAAATTGGAAGAGATGCTTTGCTGAAAGCCTAGTGCTCTGTAAGTAATTATCGAGGTGGGCGTTACAAGCTATGTCCTATTGGCAGAGTCTGAGAAGGGTAGGTTTGCAAGGGCTGCTTGGAGCTGCAGTGACTTCTACAAAGAGAAAGACTGGAGGAGCCAGGGCCTGGACTTCTGTTCATTTTCCCCCAAACCTGTTAAAATTTTCAGCTCAAGCGATTTAATTCACAGGACATTTATTAATGTCCTTGTCTATGTGTGGCATTCTGAAAGGATGTGAAGATAGATGAAGTGTTCTTTGTTCTCTATAACACATTTAACCTCCCAGTTCATCTGGCGTGTATGTGTTTAGAACTATGTTATTTACCTTTATTTATTTATTTTTAATTTGACCAGAGAGGGACAGAGAGGGTGAGTGAGTGAGAGAGAGAGAGAGAGAGAGAAAGAAAGATGGTATAATGGTTATGGCCAGCAGATGGTGTAATGGTTATGTTGCCAGACTCCTGTGTAGTCAACTGTGGTTCGAGTCCTGGACCTGGCAGCTTAAAACTCACGCTGGGCACATGTGCATACTTGTCCAAAATCCTGAGAGGAGAATGGAGGAGAAGGGATGATGGTATGGCCATCCCCCCTGGGGGGTGATTTCTCACTTTCTGCTTATCTGTCTCTCTGGTGAATGTATGTGCCTTATAGCAAAAGAGAAAGAGAGCGAGGGAGAGAGAGAGAAAGCGAGAAAGCAAGCCACCAGGTCTGGGACTCAAACTGCTGTTGACCATGTGGGAGTCCAGCGTCCTTAACCACCATACCACCTGCCAGCCCCATCTGGTGTGTGCTTTAAAAGTTCACATTTGGGGCCAGCAGATGGTGTAATGGTTATGTCGCCAGACTCCCATGTAGTCAACTGTGGTTCGAGTCCTAGACCCAGCAGCTTAAAACTCATGCTGGGCACATGTGCGTGCTTGTCCAAAATCCTGAGAGGAGAATGGAGGAGAAAGGATGGTGGCATGGCCATCCCCTCTGGGGGGTGATTTCTCGCTTTCTGCTTATCTGTCTCTCTGGTAAGTGTATGTGCCTTATAGCAAAAACTCTCTTAAAAAATGGTTCCCATTTAGTGAAACCATATAAGTATTCATTTGCTTACAGAGACTCAGAAATGTCTTTGCTGAGAAGCCCTGGAATTGTAACCCAAGCCGGGGTGGGGGGGATGGTTTTTTCAACCTGTGATGAACAAAGACAAGGAAGAATATAATTTCATAGAAACTTCCTAGACCCTAGTCATTTCAGAACCCCCAGTGAAGGCGAAATAGTAACTGGAATTGTTCTCAGGGAGTCTGGTGACAGCGAACTGAGGTGACTTTTAAGAAATGAAAACCAGCTTAGAGACTGGAGATTTTTCTTTTTAAAACTTGCTATTAGTGTCAAAACTGTTATTAACATTAATTTACTGTATCAGCTACACTTAGACATTACTTTTTTTTTCTGTTGACATTAAAAGTACAGGAATAGTTACAAGGATGTTAAACGCCAAGATAAGTAATTTGCTTTTCATGAATATGCTATTATTATAATAATTCTTTATTTGTGGATTTGGTACTAAAACTTTTTTCTTAAAGATCTACATTACCTGCAAATACAGTACAGATACAAATAACCCAAACTTGAAAAGGCACAGGATAGAAGGATTTATGGTACAACATTTGGTACAATAGGCTTGGTATATAGCTCACAGTGGGCACCCCGGAGATGTTTCCGTACTGAATGAATGTGGGAATGAATGGATGTGGGAAGACCTATTCATAAACCCTCCCACTATCTGCCCAAACATTATGTATAAGATTATATAACTAGGCCAGCTGGTGGCGTGGTGGTTAAAGTGGCTGGATTCTACATGGCGGACCCCAGACCCAAGTCCCAGACCCAATGGCTTGAAAATCACTCCAGGCATGTGTGTGTACATGCCCAAAATCCTGAAAGGAAAAACTAAGGAGAAAGGATTGCAATGTGACTGTTCCCCATGGGGGCTGCTTTCTCCTGTGTGTGTATGTGTGTGTGTGTGTGTGTGTGTGTACCTTTCTCTGGCAAGTGGATGTGCCCTCTAGAAAAATTTTGAAAAAAGAGCTTATTGTTTTTTCTTTTCTTTTCTTTTCTTTCCCCCCTTTTTTTTTTTTTGAGAGAGAGATTTTTGCTATAGGGCGTGTGTGCTTGCCAGAGAGACGGAGAAAAAGAAAGTGACAAATCACCCCCAGGAGGGTTGGCCATGCTGCAATCCCTTCTCCTCCAGTCTCCTCTCAGGATTTTGGGCACACACACGCACACACACACACACACACACACACACACACGCCCAGTGTTTTTGAAGCCTCCGAATCTGGGACTAAAACCATGGTCGGCCATGTGGGAATCCAGCAACGTAACCAATACAGCATCTACTGGTCCCAGGTTTTTTTTCTTTTTTAAGGTTTTTGCCACAGGGCACATGCACTTGCCAGAGAGAGATAGAGAGAGACAGTGAGAGGGAAAGTGAGAAATCACTTGCCAGGGGGATATGCAATCCCTTCTCCTTCATTTTCCTCCTTGGACTTTGGGCACACACACTCATGTGCCTGGCATGCTTTGCAAGCTACCAGGTTTGGGATTCAAACCATGGTCAGCCATGTAGGAGTCTAGCACCTTAACCACTATGCCACCTGCTAGTCCAGAGCTTATAGTTGTTAAAAAATAAGGTTATATAGCTCTATGAGAGGACTTCAAAAGGTTTGTGGAAAAATGGAATTAAAGTATGAATTTATTTAGGTGCAAAT